CCGGTTGTGAAAACAACCTGGTTGCGTATTCCAAAGTTACTCCTCTTTCTCAATTCCTTAAGCTCCTCAAGGAGCGGTTCGCTGACCCAACGCGAGGCACTAGAGCCTCTGATAAGCTCCAAACGGTCCACTCGCGACAGTGGAGGAGTGCTAAGGCACTCAAGAGTACTATGGACGACTTGGTAGCCGTCCCTGACCACGGGGTCACCGAGTCCCAGTTGGTCAAGTTGTTTTATCGTGCCATCCCTGAGGCCCTACGCGGGCATTTCTTTGACAAGTCTCAGCAGGCTGACATCACATATGATCAATTGAGTAGGGAGGTCGTCCTGTATCAGTCAAAGTCTATGCCAGTTACCACTTTCTGGCATAAGGACCTGGAGAAGGGGAAAAAGTGGAAGAATCGTATTATCTCAAGCCAGGTAAAGGCCAAGGATCACATGATCCTGACGTTAGAGGAAGGTGGTACTGATGAGGTCCCGTATGATCAGATTGAGGACGGCCTCGAAGATGATGGTAGTAGTGTGGGGCAGGGGAGGTCTTACGCTGCTGTCGCGGGCGGAGGGAGGCTGCAAGGTAAAGGAGGAGGCCAGGGCCAAAGGGGCCAGGCCATGGGAGGCCGAGGACCGGGCGCACAGGGGGTTGGCGGACAGGGAAACCGCCAAGCGGGAGGTAGGGGTCAAGGTCCCCCGTTAAATCGCCAGGGTAACCGGTCCCCACAACGATGAGGTGGAAGGGCGCCTCAAGGAGGACGACACCCAGGCTTGCCGCAGGGCAGGCCCTGGGAAGATCTGGGCTTGGACCAACGCTTATGGGAGGAACGCGTGAACATGGGTCAGTGCGTATTCTGTGGTGACCCAACCCACGTTATCAAATTTTGTCCAAAGTATAGATAGGCCCGTTGGGCTGCCCAACAGTCAAAAGGCAGCCGCCAGTAGGGGTCGCAACTGCCCCTACTTCAAGGCCATATGGAGAAGTGAGCGCGCGCGAACAGGACACTCCCAACCCACATGAGCTTATGGCAGAGGTTGCAGGCCCGTGCCTAGATAGCTGTCCAGAGACTGCTTGAATTAGCGTCTCTTTAGGCACGTCCCTCACAGGTGTGGCAGAAGAATTAAAGGAGAGGATGCCATCGTGGGCCAAAATGAAGAAGGAGAGTAAAGGACAACTGATTTTGGTAGATGTAGAGGTGTTTAGGAGTAGGGTAGGGGCCCTTATAGATTCAGGAGCTACCCGTAGTTACA